GGGACAAATATTTTGAAGAAGCACAAGACAAACAAGATGCAAATGAACGCAAAGGTGTTCAATTTCACAAGGAAATTAAAGTTACCAATAAATAGAAAAACAGGTAATTGTGTATGCCTTGGAAAAAATATATAGATAGAAGGGAAAGACACAGTTTAACTTACTATCAACTGCCACATTAAAAACTAAGCACAGGGGGCCGGGGAGATGGTTGGTAGAATAAGTGCTTCCCTGGCAAGCGCAAGGGCCTGAGTTCAATCCCTGGTTCCACAAAAAAAAAAAAAACTAAGCACAAGGGCCGGCCATATAGCCCAGCAGATTAAAGCACCTGCAAGCAGGCACATGGGACAGGGGTTCAATCCCTGGGTCTGCCATGCCAGCCCCACCCCCGGGGTGCGCTGAGACGGTGGTGACTGAGACTGGGCGTGACGGCGCGCGCCTGTAATCCCAGCTCTTGGGAGGCTTTAAACAGGCGGATCACTACAAGTCTGATCTAGCAGTGAGACCCTGAATACTCTGTAGACCCTTCCTTAAAATATAAATAAATAAATAAATAAATACTAAGCATAAGAAATAAGACAAATTGTGAGGCTTAATAGTTTCCTAAGGCTATGTCACCAAAAAGGAACACACTGACTTTAGGCTGTTTATGTTTAACACTGAGTATAGTACAACTGCCAGTAATTTTTGTTTTGTTTTGTTTTATGAGACAGGATCTCACTACGTAGCCCAGGCTGGCCCTAAACTCTGAAGCAATCCTCCTGTCTCAGCCTCCCGAATGCTGGGATTACAGGCAAACACCACCATGCTTGTCTTAACTGCCAATAATTCAAAAGCTGACTTGAGTCAGAAAGAAATAGACAAACATAAATTAACTAAGAATCAATAAAAATATCCTTTTCTGGTCAATAATAGTAATGTTATGAAAGGAAAGACCAAGAGAGCTGGATTTAGACACCAAAAGAACAAAATAATAACACGTTGAACCTGAGATAGAAGAAAATTTCCATGATGCATATTATTGAAAACTACATGTTGGAATGTAAAATAGAAACTGTTTACTAGATTCTGTTTACTTATTGGTTCAGTGTCTTGTGATGTAGACCAGGCTGGCCTCAAACTCAAAATCCTCTTTTCTGTCTCTGCCTCCCTCACACTATGAGTAGAGGAATATATTACCACGGCTGTGTACTTCCATTGAAGTTCAATTAATTTTTCTGATAAGTACATTGTGGCTATAAAAAAGAAATGTCCATATTTGTAGGTAAATATATTCTAATGGGTTACAGGGTAGGTGGGAGGCACAAATGCTTTCAAATAGAAGTCAACAGTGACACAGTGTTTATTGTGTACCTACACACATATATAAATAAAAACAGAAGTAATGTTGAATCTAAATAATGATATATAAAAGTTCACTGAAGCATTCCTATGTTTCCTGTAAACATGAAGTTCTAAAAATTGATTTGGTGCTGCCTGGCAAGCACAATATCCTGAGTTTGATCTCTGGTATCCCCTGCACCCCCCAAAAGAGGTTTGGTGTATCTACATTGGGCAAAATAAAATCATACTTATTAGCTTATTGGGAAGATTAAATAAATCAGGTATGTATGAACTTTAGAAAAAAATCTCACAAAACTAAGGTCATGTATGTCAAAAAAATAATTAATAAATGTTTATTTTATGTGTGTGTAGAGAGCCAGGGAGATATTCAGTGGAATGAATGCTTGGCTGGCAAGAGCAAGGTCCCGAGTTCAATCCCTGGTACCACCAAAAAATAAAAATTAGTTT